GGGATATTGATCATACCACCAATGCGCGCTGTTGCCCTCAGGCAGGTTACCTCAATCAAGACGCAAATAAAATAAAAATTAAATACATACCCTACGTTTCAATGCCGCCAAGAGACATAATCCAAAACTATAGTTCATTTGGACCCAAAGTAGATACTTCATGCAGTAAAAGTTTGGGCGTCAATCGAGATGCATACAACTCACACGACTTATGTGACAACAAAGACAAAAGATGGTGCAAGGAGTTGGAAGAAAAAAAGTGGACATAACATGGCAAATCGACCTCCGAAAGAAGATTAATGGAGTAGAAAACTGTCAGAAGGATAAAATTAACGGGTAAAGACCAGATGCCGAAGTGACATTGGTTTCGTGGTTGCTTCAGGTTTAGCGAGCGCCCCCAACAGCAGCTACGGATGTTGTGGCTCCCTTCCAGGATGTGATTGTTAGTCGTGACATTGTGTTCCGCTCTCTAGCGACAGGTTTAATTTATTGACAAGATACAAGACATCGATGTAAGATCAGTGTGGCGTAAATGTCATGTATATCGACCGAATGTGATGGGTTGGATCGAGGCTGAAATGCACTATTTAATAGATTGGTGATCGTGACAAAATTTTGGATTTGTTTGGAGCACATAAGTGAAGAGATTTTGACACGTAGTCCAGGTGTTATTCGCCCTCAACACTAAGTTCCACAACCGAATCAGTGCTTGTTTATGGTCCCATGTTGGAGATATCGGTATGGGGAATACAACCAAGGAAGTATAGACTACTGATGGAGACATGTATCACAATACCACCGGAATCCGCGGGTAACGCTCGTCACAACAATCAGTGGCATACTGTCGAGTTGTCTTGAGTGTCCGTTGTATGAATGAACTGCAATCAGCAACTTCAATTTGGACCGCAATTAGTTTGGCTAATGGGAATGAACTTGAGGCGGATAAACACCACAAATCATCGCACCCAGAATTACATTGTATACTACAAGCATGCACAACAAATTTGTGACATAAACGCGTCGACCGAACTGATGTTGAATAAATTTAACGACCACCTTGAGTCATCTGAAGATGAGCAACCAGCAAGTATGCACCATCGCTAATCTGAGACAGCTCAGCTAGCATCAAATTGAACATCACATGTGTCAACTCGCTAGGGTACAGACAAGATGCTCGACTGACACTCGGCTACGCATCTTCATTTCTCACATCACCCCACAGTTGATAGGCCGTGGTGGTATTTGGCATTAATGCAAATTGCCAAAACGCGCAGTAATGTCATGCTAGGGACGGCACGGAAATCTAAGCAATAAGGAAAGGCAAGGTATCAGCAGTACGCCTGTACGCAGTTCCCACGCTTCGCTGCCGCGTAACCACCACCGGTCGCACGCGGGTTAATAATAGTGCGAGGGTAACTTTACCTCTGCGCACGCTCAAAGCTGCGCCGTCAGATTACGAGACAAGTTCGTTACCTTTAGGCTACGGGCCGACAGCAATGAGAAGACGCTATCTCTGATTCTATGCGTCCGGCCAGTCACCTCAGTGTTTGGGAGATAAGTTATCCGGTGGTGTTAGTGAAACGTCTAATGAATTCGAAGTAAGCGAAAGAAATGTGGAGGCACCAGCAGAGAACTCCCGTGTACATGAGATAAACCACCGGAAAATATGTTTCGATGGCGGAGAATTCCAAATGGTGCAAGCTTACTCTCAAAGAGGTGCTCAGGATGAAGCATGACCGAAGCACCAAGAACACAACAGAGGTGTAAAATATTCATTCGGGAAAAACAGAGAGGATGGTGTCACTAACAGTTCCGATCCAGCCTAGAACCATCATCGAGTCGCAACAAACCACCAATTGTAGGAGTGCAAAGTTAGAATGGTAGATCCAGACTAGAGGCTGCGACTGAGATCATCAAAGTACCTTAAAAACGGTAGTTAGGTGCAAATTTATAACCTCTGACATGAACTGCCGTTGGCCGACAGACGAAAAATAACAGCAACCGTTGAACCCACCTTGCACGTGTTCCTTTATTCGGGAAGTCAAAGACCGATTGGTTCTGCCTATGTAACTGTTTCCGCAGTCGCACACGAATTTGTATATGCGGTTGAGCTTCCTTCGTTGGAGACACCGGCAAGTTACAGGTTCTATTGATGACCACAACCTGAGCAGCACAGTAACCCCTCTGCGTAGCAGAGATTAGACGTTTCGTGGTTTTCAATACATCAAAGTCATCTTTGAAAGGCAACTCGATGTAGATCTTGTTCTTGGCTGCCGTATGCACCAAGTCTTTTGGGTCTCGCTGTTGGCTGTGCTTCTCGATAAATCTACGTGGATAACCATTTGCAATGAGTGTTGTTGTAATTAACTTTAGCTCGTCGGCTAGACAATCAGTCGAGCAAATTCGTCTAGCACGAGTAACTAAAGTTTTCACAAGGGTCCGATGTACCGCACTGGTGGGAAGCTGGTGAAGTGCAGGTATTGGCCGGACCAGGTTGCTTTCCTGTAGATAGACCTTTTAATGAGCCCGTCATCCCTGCGACTGATGAGGATGTCTAAGAATGGCAGACAGTTGTTTTGTTCCACTTCGCAGGTGACCCGCAAGTTGGTATGTGCCCTGTTGAGTTGCTGCACAAACTGGACAATCTGCTGCTCCGATGAACAAAAGGCCAATATGTCATCCACATAACGCTTATAATGTGGTAAATGGGCTATTTCTGCGAATATGCCTCTTTCTATCATCAGCATGGAGAAATCGGCAAGTACAGGGCTTAGTGGGCTACCCATTGCCACATCATCGATTTGACGATATGGATGTTCTGAAAGTGGAAGCCAACATTTGCTGTACACAGAAGTAAGAATTCCTTTAGAAATTCGACTGGAATTAGTAACGAATAACTCGATTGCTCAACTAGCTCACATATGTAATCAACAGTTTGCTGTAGTGGAATGTTGGTAAATAGAGATTCAACATCCAAGGAACACATGACCTTATCGGAGAGGTTGATGTCATCTAAATCATCGATAAGTTGAAACGAATCTTTAAGACTATATGGATTGGACATTTGTCTCAGAGGCGAAAGAATCTTCACTAGCTAGCGAGCCAATTTATGCTGCGGCGCATTTACATAGTAAATAAATAGATAAAATGTTTATTCTCGACTAAGCGAGGCATGACCATGTTAAGAGCACAAAATGTGGTCAGTTAATGTAAATGGAACAATAGGGCTGTTACGTATGTTGACATATGAATGTATGTATGTAGGTGTTTTTTTAAACATGCCTACTTGTGTGCTTCATGCTGAGGCTGATGTTGCATTCATGCTGTCTCTTCACCGCAGTTGGGCTAAACCAGCTTACACTTAAACTAAGTCTTTTTAAGCTGGATAAATTTCATTCCACATTATTTGATTTGTTCTGTCTACCAGAATAAGCTCCTATTAACTGACCACCCTGCTTACGCGAATTGTGATTATCTTTGTTAACTTTATCAGGTTTGTGGCATTTTTGAGTAAGTTCTGGACATTTTGTACTTATCGCGGATTCGTTGCTAACCAACATAATTCATATGCTAATTTAGGGAAGAGTTATGCCACCGTATCTGTATGCATTATTGAATTTATTTTATTTCATCTTGTCGTTTCAAGTGACTGGCTGCTGTTTGACATCCCCGGTGTGGCTGCGCTTGACGTGCATGTTGACAAGGTGCCTACCTGTCTATTACCTACTACCTCGTCCATACTGGCTCCAGGAGACAGTTGGTCGTTGCTAGACGGGACAGGGTGCACGGTCGTTGTGGCCGTGCTAGGCTTGAAGAACGCATCCATGCACCCAGTGTGGAGCGGACTACGGTCCAGCCACCGCCTTGTGTGCGCTTGATTCCCCAAATACAGCGTGCTTGTGTTTGCCTGTGAAGGAGTGTGGGTCGGCTCCGTTGATGAAACGTGGCTCCTCGGTCTTATTCCTTCGGGTTTACAATGGATATGGGGCGTGTTGTTGGAGGTCTGGGTGGTGCAGCGCAAGCCACCCATGGTCCCTCTGTAGGCGCAGGTGTGGTGTGGCTCGCCACAGTGACAGACAAATCCGAAACTGGATGCCGCCAACCACGCAAGCATGTGTAGCTGTGTTTATGGTATTTGTAGATGTTTTCATGCACTTTTGATCGTGTCGCCAGTGCTAAATTGATGCTTGATGTCTGTGGACTTGAAACAGTTGTCCGGATAAACAATGGGGTGACTTTAGTTGGTGGCGAGTCACAACCGCCAAGTCAGTGTTGTTAAACAGACATTTATGGCTTTTTATAGGGAGTACGCTTACCAGGCGAGAACCCACCACGTCCTGGAACACTGCCGCCGACCTATTTGCTGGAACGGGGCGAACCCGAAGCACCCGGCTGGCACCATGAGGTTGTTCGACTAGCCAGCACGGTTGGCTCAGCTCGGGGCGCGAACAGATCTAATTACCATCATTGACTTTCATGCTATAGAGTAACCAAATCACAGCAAAACCTCCGTTAGTTGATCACTCAAGGGACTGAACCAACGTGATTAACTTACAGAGGTCTGGATCCACGAGATTCACATGGTAAACGTTAAAGCAGGATATGAGGCAGTCAACTTCGGAAGTTTTGCTGTATTTGTAAGCTCCTAAGCAGCTAGAAATTCGCTGGGGGGACAGGCTATCAAACCGGACGTAAAAAACAAGCCTCGTCCGGACTGGAAAACGAATGCAACTAGGTTCGGAGCGACAAGTGAAGTGGAACAGGGGCCTAATAATCGAGGACTGTAAAACAAATCACACGGATAGAACAAAAGAATGTCTTAGTAGTACGTCGGTACATTGTACCGATGCCTCGCGACCACCAGCAACCGTGAGATCGCCCGCACATACGCGGATCCGAACCAATAACCTTCAGGGTTAAAGGGTAAGCGCGTAATCCTCACGTGCACCGGCCTATACACCGATAAAACAGCTCGGCTACGCCATCAGTCTGGTGTGTTGAGAACTTAAGCATCGAAAAGAAGTGCTGCACGTCTGAAGTAGCGCGCGTGAAGAGAGTGCATGAAGCAGACGGATTGCGCTCACAGTGACAGGGTGAGGTTTCGATGTTGCTCCTAACCAAGTGACACTGGGCTCACAAGTATGTGGACCAGGTAGAGATGTAACGGACCTATCTGCAACGCATCGAGAATACAAAAATGATCTTAAAAGAACAGCTTCCGAGGCAGCATGCAACCAAGCCGACGTACACATTACAACGGCCCAACTGCTTATAGGCCGAGGTATACGCGATTGCAAATAGCTTTAAACCAGTTGAGGCGGGAAAGAAGAGGTAAGTGATAGTGTTGATCACTGTGAATGGGTGGGTGGCAGACGAACCTCTGAGAAGCCAAAAGAAGAGTACAGAAATCCGCATAAAAATTTAGGATAACACAGCTCATAAGGACCGTAAAGATAAAAGTAATACTCGATGGATGATACAAGAAATGCGTCCTCTTCACCGAGAGATTAACTTCAGGAATGACACGATGAATGTTGAAGGATCAGATGAGGAGTGGGATGGGAAAATAGATTATAGAGACAAAAGCAGATCATCTTGAGGGTCATCTTCGTGGATTATAGTGCGAGGATTTGACAAAAGAGACTTTGGTGTTGCATTGGTGAGCTCAGTTGGCACAGAACCATTGTCTGTGGTAGGAATGCGCGAATACTTTACCACAGAGCGCGCGAACCGTCGTGGGTTGAAAAGCCAACGTCTCAGCTGAAAATGGCAAAAAATTGAGCGAGATGTTACACAGATGCAGCACAATGCATAAAGGCAAGCGAAAGCGGGAAGACGAATCGGGTGCGACGGTAAAGGTGTGCACATCATGATCAAGAAGAGGAGAAGGCAAGTAGGATTTCGAGTGCGAGAAGTGACTTGGGTGATCGACTGGCCGTACGAAGGAAACTTGTGGTCAAGTGCAGTGTTTTTGGATTTTAAGCATGGACCGAAGCACTTCACTGTTGACAGCAAATAAATCAATACGAGACATGCCGATCAATCGGATAGATGATGGGAATGTTGACAAGATAGTGGCTGGAAGAAGCGTCAGTTACGATGACAGTGGAGCAGAATCGAAGGAGGGCTGAGGCGGAACAACAACAAGTGTTGGGATGAGCAACACTATAATGTTTCTATTTTACTTACGGTCTTTTTGATCGGAATGACCGAGGTCCACCTCAAGTGAACCGAGGCCTCAATAGAGGTTGCTTGTAGCAACCCAACCACCAGCGGATTCTCCAAGCTTAACTTACTATGAAGACTGTGCGACGCCGAAAATGCGGACCTCAGTTACTTAGACAACCGACACTCCAATGCGGCACCGGGTTGTTAAGTTGATGGCATCTAAATCACTGGTTAAGAAATTTCGCCACATATGAGCAATATCTCGAAGACGATGATGATTTAATGTGGCCTACATTAAATGTCTTCGGAGCATAGGAGATAGGCCTCTGGTCCATACAGTGAGTGCCACCAGACGAATGGCGACGCGGTACATTCTAACAATGACTGACATGATGAGAATACTGTCTAGGGAAAGTAACCTCGTGCCCACTTTGGTCCTTAAGATTGTTGGAACATCACTCCCTGAGTATGTTGAGTAAATATTTCAAATAGGTCACAGAAATCTAAACGCTCCTCATACGCCACCACGTTCACGAAAAACTTTGATCAGTCTACTATACACACCTGGTCACTGAGTTCATGGCTATTTAGCAGATGGCTCAGTAAGTTCAAGTTTGTAGCAGAAATCAAGTGCTAAAGAACGGTTAGAAAACAGCGGTAACCCTGGTGTAATGCGCGCGACACACAGGGGTGCCAGAAACACCCATACATTTGAGCAGTTTGTGTAGGAACGCCCAGTAATTACAAGATTAAGCAGTGCGATCTAATTGCTCTGGTAAAGTTTGTAGGAGGTCCAAAATACACCATTGGAATTTATCAACCGATTTTCTGTGTTATCTCTATGAATGACGAGGACAAGCTTCATCACACTATACTATCGGTTTCCCCAAAGTTAATTTAGATAAGTGGACAAATCCATCATCGGGGTGGGAACAGGTAGTGTACCGGCTAAATATTGCGGCGGTATCTTTCACTCAGAAAATGCGAAACACATGTCGGAGCATGTAGCATTGCGAGCCAAACTTAACAGCGATTGCTGGAAACAGGTGGCCAGGCCCAAACGGAGAAGTATCACCAACGAGGCTGACTCAGTCAGCCAAGGAACAAATGGAACTTCGGTTCGAAGTGAAACAGACAAGATAGCCATTCACGAGCACTTCAACAGTAAGGTTGAAGAGAAGGAGAGAGGCCCAGATGCATAATGAATCCAGCAGAAATTCTCCGGTAAGTTAGCAGTAAAGGATTTCTCTAGTAAGCTGGACAAACCAAGATAGTGTCACAAAGTCGTAGATAGTAAACGGTGATGACCAGCCGCATGCAACATATGGTGTCGTTCCAATCCCCAATGAGGCGAAAATAGGTGGATAATGTCATTTTCGACCAAGGGCATTCATAACTTTAGGATGGCCGATAAGTCAATGAAGCGTGAATGCTAGCAAACAGTTCATATACAGCGAGAAAGGAGTTAATGCCATGAGGCAGGTTACATATGGCCGCATTACTTTTTTCAAACGTAGGTAGGATGCACAAAAGGTTGGACTTGAAAGCACTTATTTGTGATGGTAGCTAGCACTGGGGTTGAGTGGAACAGGACAAAATACTGATAGCATTAGTTGCGTGTTGAGGTGTTGACTGCTTAGCTGAGATTGGCAGACGTATCGTCACCAACTGAGGTGACGTTCTCAGTGTGTGTTTAGCAACAGCAGTACTAGTAGCAGTTGTTGTTGTTGTTGCTGATTTGGTAGTAGTAGCTTTGCTAGTAGACAAGGAGCTTGGAGCAAGTTGGAGAGTGGACACTTATCGCCATTGGCTGCTCGGTACGCACTTTTCGGACGCTATTAATCGTAATTTATCTGAACTGGTCATCAATTTCTGTATTCGGGAATGGCTGGACGGTTGCCATCAATCACAGCAATTTGTTAAACGGTGTGTCAGCTTATACGCCGTAACGGCGCTTCGCTGCCGCGCGACCACCACCAGTCGCGCGCGGGCTGAGTATACCGCGAGGACGCCCACCCCTACGCGGATTCGAACCGGTGACCTTATGGTTGGAAAGCAAACGTGCCAACCACTCGGCCACCGGCCGACGTTAAACGGTGTAGCAGACAAAGACGAACCGGACTGGCCAGGACTGCATGCGCGCTGAAAGAAAGTGCACAGCGAAGTGTGGTGAGCGAACAGAGCCGAGGTCTGTTGAGTAGACGGAAAGCGAATCAAGTGCTACCCACGCGAGCTGAACAGGATTGCTGCGGTTGAATGGACGACAAAGAGTTGATGAGTTTAGCATGAACCAAATTCTACTTGGTCGCGGGAAGAGTATACTTGGATCGAAACAATCACAGTGAACGGACGAGTTGTGTGGGGCAATGAATATAGGCGGACGACAAGAGGGGGACAGAGGGAAATAAGCAGTGAAGAGTTGACTTATGGAAAGAACCCTTCGAATTTATGTACCTAAGTAGAAAAGACCGATCGCTGTCCAGGATGTTTTGACCCTACGAGGTCAACTTAACACTGCTCACCAAAACATAGTGGAAACCACTCTTCGGGTGCTGGGAAAGGTTAACAGGAACAGGTCACCCGTTTGGCTCCAACAGTACCTGCTGAAGTCGGTCTCTTCGAGAGAAGAGTATAGTACCTCAGCAGCCAGGGTAGATAAAGTTGAATAAGGAAATACCAGCAAGACAAAAGGTAGACCGGATTGACCGATGATTGTTACACAATATGCAAATCGGTAAGTAAGAAGACAGCTCAAATATCCACTGATCGCAGCAAACGGTTCACTCACTGGGACATCTCTTTTATTTGAGCTCTGGATGAGTTAAGAGCAGTAATGGGCTGTTACAACGCTGCTGGCCAGGTGCACCCATGTACCCTCTCCATCCACTAACGAGCTCGGTTAAGACGCCGCTTTATAGTACTACGAACAGTCTGCGTTTGAGTACACTCCAGAACCATCAGTAGTGCAAGCACGCAAATCGAAAGACTCCACAACTCCAACCACTGGGTGAGTGATCAGCTGTGAAGCATCGTACGTCTTGTATGCGATTCCATACGAGTCGTAAAGGATATATTACCAGATATTGTTCCATGAGTGTAGTGTATTGTGTAATTATTGTTTGTAAGAGGATTAGGATCTATATGTGAGTATAGAAATCGGGAGCGGAGAAATACGAACATCGTTGTACAGTTAGCTGACTGGCATTCAACCAATGGAGATTGGAGGAACATCATGAAAGGAGGGGGAAAGAGCATGCTGTCACCAGGTGAGAATTAGTTAATCTACCGAGCCAAGTGAGATGTGGTAATTACATAGTGTCCTTGACCACTGGATGAAATGTGGTGAGACGATTTGCTTGTCTGCGTGATGCTTTGGGTAGTGTCCTCAGGTACTCAGAGCTAACCCCACTAGACTGGTCTATCGGTAGAGTGTCATAGTCCTTCAAATTGAAGTTAGAACTGGAGTGACGGTTCTTTCTGCGAAAAGATTCCGTCGTATGAATAATGTCGAGTTATCGCTACTCCGAAGTCAAGCTTTTGACCAGAGGCCTTTGACTACGTGTTCGACTGGTTCTGCTGCTAAGATTGAACGACGCAGAAGGATCATGGTACCAAAATTCAACCTCAAACTTCCCATCACAAACAGAATGGACGGCACTTTCCAGCTACCAAGTGAATCAGTGGTTACGAAGGAGATAAACTCATTCTCAGCGTCCTCAGAATCAGAGATAGGGGAGAGGTCGATAGTCCGAACCTAAAATCACATGAGAAGAGTTACGGGGTTATCAGCGATACTGGATTGGCACGTAGCATGAGTGTCACGAATTGACACTGAAGATGAGAGAATATGGACTTTGTTAATTGGTTTGCCACCACCTGTCTCAAGCTACACCTTGTTCAGAATGTTCAAATCCGAAGCAACCCACTTGCGGTTTACCGTGGTAGCTGGTGAATCATGTGATACGATCGAAAGGCTAAAACGTTAAATTTTCTGTTGTGTGTGTGGTAGACCACAGGCAGAGTTCGGTAGAGCTAGGCTAGGTAGCTAAACCCCCCGTTTGGTCTAAATACATCGGCCGACCACATGACAAGATCCATACACCAGGTGATAAATGGGCAGAAGAAATGAATGATGATCTGGCCACACAGATGAGGACAGGCTAGGAGGAACAGACCAAGCGCATCCCAATTGATGGGGTGAGTTCCATGTATAGCTTTCCACACTTCGAGAAGTAACAGACCGGAAAGAGACCAAAAGGAAAGTGAATTTCACTCAGACGGTTTCGTAATAATAGATCAAAAACGTACGGTTTATTGAATTAAGACGACATGCAAAGTAGTGAACAGGTTCAAATGAATGAGGCAGCGTGGGTGCGGAAGGCGTCGTAAAAAATATTCCAGCGTAGTAGGAATTGGGCTGAATATTTCTAGCTCGGGCACTGCGTGGGCAAAGTCACTGCAGAGGCGACAATCCTGTGATAACAGATAACATCTCATAGTCGACAAGCAATAATTAACCAAGTGCAAGTGCAACATGTAGTGCCCCAAGGAGGAGCTGAACAAATTGCCGATTAGTCGCCCTCGTCTTCTACTCAACGGGTAGGATTAACAAGGCCAAGTGTCTTGCTCCAAATCGACAGCATCGGCCATGTGGGGTTCCATCGATGTCAGGGGTAGTAAAATCAAACGTCAGTGAAAGTTTGTATGACCTTATAAGCGAGTAGAAAGTTGACCAAATACCCTGCCAAGAGAACAAGGGGAAAGGGTTCGTTGACGTCTGTCGGAAACTGCTCCACATGACTGAGAAAAATGCGGCGGGCCACAGATGAACTTGACTCGATCTGGGAACTCTCACCACAGTTCGGTACCCTCTGAATGTTAAAAAAACTTGGACGCATCGTGTAAAGAAATCCGACACGATAAGATGGAGCATTAACATGGAGTGAAGGTCTGCTCATCTGGGTGATGAGGTTCCGCGGACCCACTTACCAGGGAGCTGAGACAAGATGAACTAGGCAGCAGTAAATTCGTCAGTGGAGATGGGGGCTAGATTGGTGGTTGCTGAGTTGTGAGGTTAGAAAATACAGCAGTTGTCCACCGTACACCACAGTAACAACACGGGCACCAAAAGAAAATATGCGCAAGCCGTGAAATAGCCAGGCCGTGTGTGGTGAGAGCAATCGCACATCCCTTGACCTCATTGTTGACACTACGGCAAACGTGAAAATACTAGCTCGTCAGCGAAACTGCGAGCGAGAGATCTGTGACTTAATGTATCATTTAAATAGCGTGCAAAACAGACTTCTGATCCAACCGCCCAGATCTGCTTCAAGAGGGTTGGAGAGCCGCGCCAGTCGCAGTTCGGGGAAATTTATTCATACGGGACACGTTTGCGGGATATGAGCTCGACGGGACGAACACCACGGCTCTTTGGGTTGCTATCATCTACTCCAAGCAGGTTAACTGATGGCCACTAGGGTCCAAAACCCACCCCACGCTGAAGCCTTTCTGAGGCAGACCCCAGTTTTCGTTGTTCCATTTGATACGATCGAAAAAATGTACGCACAAATACGAATTCTATGAAGACGTGTGAGGCTCGCACAAAGCAGATGTCAACTGAAATTTGCTCACCACCAACTTTTGCGTCAACACATTGGCATACATTTTCGCTGCTGAGTTGGGCCCCATAGTACTGGGTAAAGGGTTCAATATACGAAAGCTTGGAAAAAATCAGTCGAAATGTGTAACAGAAATGTGTCATCTGTTCGTAGAACGATGCCACAAGCCCTCTTTTCACTCTTTTGGTTGTGCTCCTTCTCTTGGAAATCTTTTCTTCCTAGATGGTATAGTGAAAAATCGCCGCAGAAACAACAATAAACAACAACGTGAAATACAATTATGCTCATTATGGGAATTTCGCATCACACAAGGTCGTGTAGTGTCAGAGTCGTCGATGGACAGCGTTGTAATGCAACTTCGACTGCTTGGTTTGAACTTCAGTGACAACCGTATGACGCCCAGATAACGTTTCGACGCATGTACGATGTCACAGAATTGGAATCGTTGACGCTACTCGGATAGATTCCGGTAAACGGACAAAATTGCAATATGCGACTTCAGATACACGTCAAAAGCGGTAGACAGGAGCTGAACAAACACCTTTTTATGGCTTCGGTGTATGCTCCCACAAACAACGGCTCGGAAATTGATAAAGTCGAAGACTGTCAGTAGCTGGTAACCTGTATTAGTATGACCAAGAATACGCACATCGTGTCCATTGATGTCGATGCGAATGTTTCAATGTGCCCCGTATCGGACTTGAAACAAAGCCCGGGATACCAGTTCGGAGTCGATGCATATCGCACAAAACAGTAAGTAATTTTTTTCAATAATGTACTGGTCGTAAGTTTCATAGCAGGATCCAGTGTGAGCGTTGGCTCACGGCAATTAGTGGGAATGGGACAGCCGAGGACTGTTGCAACTCGTTTGAAGCATTAACCGGAGCAAAACTTCATTAATTGAAACAGTAGCTAGGAAATGGATGAATGATCGATACTAAGACCCGCTGGTTTGGATGATGCAAAACTTTGGAGAGAAATGCAATCGTCCACCTGTAACGCGAACGTTTCATGAATCCCAAGAAATATCTGGAGTGGCGATGTTAGAGATTCGATACCATATAGTTGGCAGCATCCGGTTTCGGATTTGCCTGTCACTGTGGCCAGTCACAGGATGCCTGCGCCTACAGAGGGACCATGGGTAGTTTGCGCTGCACCACCCAGACCTCCAACCACACACCCCATATCCACTGTAAACCCGAAGGAATAAGACCGGGAGGCATGTGAATGGGAGCCACGTTTCATCAACGGATCCGGCCCACAATCCTTCACAGGTGAACACAAGCACGTTGTATTTGGGGAATCAAGCGCACACAAAGCGGTGGCTGGACCGTAGTCCGATCCACACTGAGTGCATGGAAGCGCTCTTCCAGCCCAGCACGGCCACAAGAACCGTGCACCCCGTCCCCTCTAGCAACGACTAACTGTCTCTTGGAGCTAGTATGAACGAGGTAGTGGGTAATAGACAGGCAGGCGCGATAATAATATCTATGCTTATTTAACATCTGATTCATTTTTGTCTCTGTCTACATATATCTGTGCTCTTGTACTGCTCCCAAACAAACCGGTCAAAAGTGGACGAAACTAGTGATAGCTGGGAAGAAATGAAGAGTGACTTCAATGAATGTGGTAGACGAATTAACCATAGAGTCAAGGTGACTCGTGAACACGGTGCGAACAGAGGGCTTACTGACGCGTGGCGATGAAGCAGCAAGGACAGGGCAGCTCACTTGCGATTTCATGTTTTCTACTTCACAAAAGGTCGATTATAATAACACGGGAAGTTTGCTTGTGAAACAGTAGTAGGAATGCTACACGTAACGACTGAAGAACGAGTCCTGCGATGCCCAGAGTTCGACTTAGAATAGTATCACAAACCAATAACATTCAGTTATGATCAACTCCTTCATATGCTGCAATCAGTGAAGTGAGTGATCTTCTCGGGCGTAATGCTATCCAACATAGGGCAACTGAAGGAGAGCATTTCACAGCAGGAGAAATATACGTGTATGGTGTGAGTGTGAATCAATGCAGTGGAGAATGGATCGCGTCATATCGTAGCTGGTAATCCGTCGAAATGGTCCACTGCCGACACAACAGTTCAGTGGCCCAATTGGTAAACTCTTAAGGGAGGAGAGTCACAGGTTCGAATCCGGAAGATTCCGGGGAAGACGTGCTGCCGGATGAGTCTTAGTAGGATAAGACGGTTGTCCAGCACTTCACCGGATGTGTGGCGGCCGCTTTACAACGTTTGTTTACCTACGGGTGGCAAGACATAGTTATTACCGTTCGGTACTGGGCAGTGATTCATGACATCGCTAGTACGTCAATACTCACTGAGATGAGCAGTGTGTAGTAGTTAACGGTGGTCAAATATTCGAAGACAACTGGAATGCCAAGAGAAAGAGTCAAGTGCACCTGTCGAAGAGGAAAACAGTTTTAACTACGTATGGTAGTCTTAATCTTAGCGATGGAGAACCGTGATGCAGCGGCCGGGGAGTTTAGCTTGTGACATGTGTCATGGGTTCGAGTCTGCGCTACGGCATGGGTTTGGACGCCCCTGCAGAGTATCTCAGTCAGTCCAGGTGTGTTACTGATACTTACATTACCTTCGCCAAATGTGAACTAATTTCATCACTCACGCTCATGTCGTTGCTTACCAAGCTACCGACACGGATGAACAGTTACAGTTCCTTGTCGCAAATATTCCGATAAAAACTGATGGTCCTGCAACGGTACACCGCAGTCTGAATATGCAAAATGCATACAAAGGGACACCGCGTTGTGCCTGTAGAACAGCAGAGTGATGTCATCCACACACCCCAGACCGGTTCGCATAGTGAGAACCGATAAGGGAAGGGTATATGATATAGTTTACTAGAAACGTGCTCCATCGTTGGTATCAAGATGCGAAGAAGTCAAAAAGGATCCAGTGGACAACGCCTGGAGTGCCATAAAAAATTTCCAACAATATGAAAGATTCGAGACATACGATGTCCCAAAATGGTTGTAATCAAGGAGTACGAAAACGATGCGGATAGAAATCGCAAACCGTAAGAGAAGAGGCGTATGGTTATTTGAACAGAAACAGGCGTTCGTATGTACAGCAATGGTGGAGTTGACAGTGCGGAACAGAAAGCAAGAAAAACTCACGGTCAGTCTGCAGGTAAGACTATGTATGGTAGGATCGATTCGTGCCTCAGGGCGAACGACCATACAAGTCACTCCAAATACAAGGCACACGGCAACCAAAGTGAGCAGGCTAAAGGGAAAAGAACACGGAAAAGCGGTAGACTATGGGAGCGGTGGATATGAACAAGAACGTGGAAAATTTGGTCAAAAACACGAAAACGGAGCGTCAACATAGGAAGAATTTGAAACAAAAGCTGCACGCTTGAGTAGGAGCAATTGACAGTCGGTAAGTAGTCAAAAAGTCAGTCATAAACGGCTAGCCGGTCCAAAATACCAAGATCGAACGAATATGGGGACTACTGTTCGGCTTGCACTGCCTTTGCTCATAATCGAGTGCTACATCAATAACCAGTACCACAAATAGATTATCATAATGTGAGATCATGCTAGAATTGGAGAGTTATCCATGTGTTGCATCAGTTAACCGGAAAATATGCACGAGTCTCAACTCAACTTTTGTGGTGAACTGAGCAAATCCAAGACTAGTGCTTTGGGTTTCGTTTGGTGACTTCATCACACCGTGTGTGGAGCATCGCCTAATCAAAAACAGTACATTCGGCTTAGCTAATCAGTGACCAAATTTAACTACCGATGTAGATTTCAAGTAGCGTTCGCCTCAGTATTTTGGGAAAAGCCGCACGATGACTTCATTAAGAAAGGCCGAAGGCAGATGACATGCGCCATTTACATAAACCGGTGGAATTTGGAACAGCAATATAGATAGGTGAGGGCGGATAAGAGCAATTTTAATTACAGGATCAGCCTTGCGCGTTTAGGTGAACCTGCATAAAAGTGCCCTACGGAGATGTTAACAAATGCAACGAGTGTAAACGCGTCCTCTTAGTGACTCGACTGGCGTTGGTGTCTACTGGTCCAACATGGTTGGCAGCCTCCGGTTCCGGATTTGTCTGTCATTGCTTGCGCCTACAGAGGGACCATGGGTGGCTTGCCCTGTACCACCCCATATCAGTGGAAACCCGAATGAATAAGATCGGGAGGTATGCGGATGAGAGACATATTTCATCAGCAGAGCCGGACACACTCCTTCAACATACACAGCAGCACATTCCTGTCTACCTATGTAGGAAATCAAGCGTACCTGACGTACACAAGACGGTGGCTGGGTCGTAAGTCCGCTCCACACGGAGTGTATAAAATCACTCCTCGAGCCTGGTACGGCCACAAGTAATGTGCACCCCGTCCCCTCTAGTAACGCCAACTGTCTCTTGGAGTCATTAGTCGAGGTGGAGGATGTTAGAGATCAAGCGTAGCCACACCGGGGATATCAAATAACCAACAGAGAATTTAAAGGAAAGCAAACACGCAAAATTGACACAGAATATGCAGCAGAGTAACAGAATTGAACAAACCAAATAAAGAGAAATAACATTCATCCAGACTAAAAAGACCAAGATTAAGTGCAAGTTGGTTTAGTCTAACTGCGGTGAAAAAGAACCCTGAATACGACATCAGCCTCAGCTAGTCCAACATTCGTGTATACTACATACTGGATGTACACATTTCGGTGGTTAGGTTGCAGTCATATCATAAGAGTAGTCATCAGAAATATGAACACCGAGAGCGATCAACAATACTCTAGGCCTAATGATCGAGATGGAAAGGTCAGATGGATTGCCAAACTGTTAATGCTTTTATAATTTGCAATCAAGCGTGGGTGTTCGATACCGGAAGGTCAACAATTTGAGTAAAGCGCAGCCGCGAAGACCAGCCACATAACGTAGCAAGTTGGATCAGTAGCAGTGGCGGAGCTAGTCCCTGGCATCACAACAAAAATCTGGACATCTCAGACTCGAATACATCATCCGCGAGTGCGAAGGTATCAAGTTACGAAAAGCGGACGCCATTGGCTAACAAACGCAAAGCGCGAAAAGGAAACCGGAATGACGTAGGCAGCAGGCTGTAACGCATGAAGTGTACTTCCGAGCGTCCACTTCGTCAACTGGTTGTCCTCAGTAGTCAGGCAGGTATTTACCAAGCCTCGGGTGCAAAGACGCGCAAAACAGGCGGCTGAATATCGAGGAAAACTGCGAAAACTGTCAACGACATCAGCAGGGGGGGTAAGATGAAATAAAATGAAACGAGACGGTTTACCAAAAAAGCCGATCAACTATGTGCACAGCTTTTGCAAATTGTGGTTAGATCGCGAAGGTAACCATCATTTTCGGAAGCTGGTGTTGCAGAACATCTGCACTACAGGCTCCACTCGAGAAAGTTAACCTTTACAGGTAAAGCGATCTGATGTGCGGTGGATAGGCAATATAATTCGGCTCAGTAATCAAACGACTGCGCTCTGCTAGCTCTATTGATCCAGATGTATGTCCAATGGCTGAGCAGCCAAGGAAAACCCAACTAGAGAAAAAGCCGTGAAAAGAAGAACTTCCCGCCGCTAATCCACTACAAGCCAGATAGAGCAAGGAATTGCTTCGAATGATAAGAGACGATCAAATCTGATAGTATTCCACTTATTAGAGTCGGCCGACCAAAGTTCTCAGGCAAGCTATGATCGATGCGTGGAGTACTTACAAAGCCTGGTTGATAGGCTCCTCGATGTGAGTGAGGACGGAGTGAAAGTGAGACAAGTCATCTGCATCAGAGAAGTACCGAGCTGTGCGGGTAAGTTTTACCGAGGAGGCCAGCCAGAAGAGACTGCATATTCGTCCGCATATGGCACTCTCACCGAGGCTCCTCTACGCTACTCTACGCTATTGCACGCCACTCCACCACGCACTGATGATGTCACCTCGATTGGTGACGAAACGTTTGCAACAAAATTGCCAAGCTCAGCGAACAGTTCAACAGCCAGCATATGGATCCAGCTGATCGAGAACCCTTCGAATTGTGCTAGCATTGAGCTAAAATGGTGAACCGGTGGGGAAGAAGCAAACCTACTTATTGCAAATTTTCGGGAGACTATAACACGAATGCGAATTCGGATAAATCGTGCACTCTTCTGGCACGCCCGGTAGCTCCTACTGAGACCCGCGTATAGCTTTACCAACGTCTGCAGTCTTATGGACAAGCGTGGGCTGTGCCGCTTTGTTGTTTTCGAACGACCAGATGTAAAGGGATTGGCAAAGATGTGACTGAATGCTGAGGTACACATCCAAGAAGATCTTAGTGACTACTCATGCTTCCATTGTGATAGGCAATCAAATACCCGTGGTGGCATTTTGCTGTACATCTGGTCTTCTTTGTGTGGGAAGCGAAGATAGCCTATGTGAGCAGTTGCGGTGCTCGATCCACCTCAGGCATGGAGAGCTGAGCTACTCGTGGGTGCATTTTATCGCAACCCCTCATGAGCTGTTGTTTGGATTGGCTGCTGCCGCATCGCCAAGAGCACATGATTTGCATCTAATTTCTACTCATTGGCGATCTCAATTGTCATCAAATACGTTGGACTGAAGTTCCGCATAGCACCGGATGTTGGGAGGTCGGAGAACGGTTTGTTGAATTTGCACTTAAAATTGGGGCAGTACAACATATTTGCCAACCAATGCGCAGAATACCGCGCTCAACTTCACCGCGCTTAGACTTGATGTGAACTAACTGTGAACTGTGTGTAACATACGGATCCTGGAGCAGCAAGCGACCACTCAGTTCTCACTGCCAAGATGGAGATTCAGCTGCAGCATACCCATGCGCTGAAGCTAGCTTACAGACTATGGGAAAATGCTTTTACAAGGGTGTATAAAGCTTATCTTGACTTCAAGACGGATTTCAACGGCCTGACTCGAGCTGCGAGTCAGGTGGATTAGTCTCTGTGGCAAATCTGTATCTGCTAAAGTTTGCTGGTTAGTTATAAAGAGTGGGTTGTGCCTCTCAGGTGTCGAAAAACCGGGCCAGTCAGGTCAGATTAGTTCGACAAAGAATATGGTAAACTGGCTCGAAGGCGGTGGGGTGAATTGTAGGACAAATTTCCATCTCTGGTTCGGTCAACGGTTACGAGGTGTGTCAAAAGCTGCGAAACATTTGAAATAGTGCGAAAACGAGCAAATATCGGCATTACGAAGAGAGGTTTGCAACCCTATCAAAGAAAAGTTTTGCGTAAGTGAAGCGGTGCATAAGGTGGGCATGGGACTTGCCAGTGAAAGAGGGCATAGACGGACGGCTCCTAACCACCAGCACTGAGCGTGTGTCCGAATTGGCGGTGTACCTTGCTTCCGCGTTCGCAAATGACCGTGTGTCTGTAACAACTACGAGGTGCACCGCACTCGACAATCTGGACTTTGGTGTGAGGCGCGCCAACTACTCGCCAACACTGACCGCACCAAATTTGCTAAATTTGATGAGCTCTATCCGCTGATGCCCAAGTCCTTATTCAGTCATCATCTCGCCTGTTGCAACTGAACAGTTCCACAGGTTTTTGACAGAAGGCCCTTTGTCATCGCAATGAGACTGGACTTTAGCGCGGTGGGATGATTCGCGTGTCTCAGTGATCCATTGAGCTATGCTGGGTGGTGCTTTTTTGCATCTTCAGAGCCACTCAAACCAGATTGGTCAATGGTTAGAGGCCTAAGAAACTCTATCTCCTGGCTCTCCAGATTGGGGGTTGGAGTGAGGGTGGCTCCTAAGTCCATAAAAAGGACTCTCTGTAGTCCAACCCCAAACTCGCTGTCTTGCGGTCAGGTTTTTGAACCACAGGCTTTAGTTGAGAACCCCGACCGTTCTTCTGTCTACGCCTGGGCAATCTTACTCTATTCTGCCCACGCAACACAACTATGACTTCTCCTCCAAACCGTTGCTTGATGCTCTGGCTGCCGCAGAGGATAATTAACGGCGCCCTATCTAATGCCTCGAACATGGTGGATAACGGTTTGGATGATACTGATAAAGCCTTTTCGTTTTCTTATTCTTGCTCTTAAGCCTCTTCGCTTTTAACGTCCCGTTCCAACTCTACTTTTGTCCTCAGTGTTCAACCACCAATTCTTGACCTTCCTCCATCTTGATTCAGTAATACTTTATCTTTTGGTTTAGACCCACATGCAATCGCAGGGCGTTGCTTC